ACTCAGGTCCAAGCTCCATAGACGAGTTCCGAATCGAGCGGTTAGATTCTCAACGGTGGTGTCGTCAACCTCCTTGCCTTGAATTTTCAGGACACGTAGTTCAGGGAGCTCGTCGTCTTGGAATAAGGGACGGAGTGATCCCAAAACATATGAAATGTCTAGATAGACAATTCCGCGAAGGGTGTTGATGAACTTGGCTGACAATGACACGGGGCAACCGGCCATGCTGAGGAGTTGAATCTGATGACCGACCTCTGCAAGAGATTCGGAAGGGTCAAGATCTTCATGGCCATCGATGAGAATACAGTTTAGGTTTGGTAAGAACTTGACTGCATTCTTCATGCTCGTATTGAGGTTGTCACCCATGCTGAGAGAATATGTGCCCCTGATAGAGCGAGCATCAAAGACTCGAACGAGGCTTAACGTCTCAGATCTCATCCGATTGACGCCGTTGAAAACAGAGTTCAACAACCAATCCAAATCTGATGAAACTAATCAGTTCCTGTTCTGAGGAGAAGAGACTAGGGTATTGTTCAGTTCATAGCTCACCATATTCTGCATCATCAAGGCCGGTAACTGCGTCTGAGCGTGGGATACGACTCCATATGCGTGGGGCAAAAACGTCCCAGTAACGACGACTTACACGGCACAAAGCCGGATAGTCCTTGGGAGAGACGTACGGAGCCACTAGGGGCAGCCAGTCGGGGGAGACGGCATCTTGGTAAGATGGAAGCGAAGCCATCACGAGATTGCTAAGTCAGCCCACCATCGAGACAACCAGGCTCCGGGATCCCCGGGATTGTGTCGGTCGAGATAATCCGAGTCTCTACTTGATAATCATGGGCATACAGTAAAAAAAGTGGTGACGCTCCGTTCCTCAGCTGGTTACTAGCAGTGCATGTGCATGTTGCTGCTGGCAGGCAGTGGAGATTGATGATATGATATTATTCAGACGGCAATACTCCGCGAATTTGTTATTGGCTGGGGCACATCGGGAAGTGCCAAGCACAGGCAAAGTTGCGAGCCCCCCACCCACAAGCCTGCTTTAACGGCTTATGCCAAGATCGAGGCTAAGTTACAGTGGGTCGATCAGGTACATGTGCACTGTATTTATCGCGTCGCTAATACTGTAGGGTCGTCATCAGCGACCATGAGAGCTGAATTGATGAGCAGTGAGGTCAAAGTACCTGAATTTTGAGTTATAGAGGGTCTGTATCCTTGAACAGCTGTCAGAACTGCAGTTGATGTAACCCTGCGAGATTGATTAACAGATGATATCTTGGTAACAGAGCTGTACATTACATTGCATTACTTTACAGTATCCAACGGCAGGCATTTTACTCTGATAATATCTCCACAAAATCCATTGCAGGCCATGCCCCTGTCCCTGTCTTGTCTAGCAGACTTACCAACCAATTCAACGCATTCTTTCCCCGCGATCTATCACATTTCGCAAATACTACATCCACCCGACGAGGAGGAGACTCCGTCAGCTCCTCTTATTGCTATTGCACTGTAGGTGTCGTACTGCACTCAATCACTGTAATCGACATATGCAATCTAATGCATGGAATAGCATGCCCCCCATACCATACCAAGATCATGTTCGTTTCTTTCTTTTTTCGCTTCTCTTTTTGTATTTACGTACAGTAGCTTTCTAATCTCTTCCGTCATTGTTAACATTGAAGTTCATCACTTGTGCTGTACAACCGCCTCGTTTGCATTCCTATGCCAGCAGAATAAGAAGCAAAAAGAAGTATCAGCTCAACCATTCATTGCCTGGTACATTCAATCCATGTCCAACTTTTACTGATTCTTGGGTACGGAACCCGGCATCGATCACAGGCTTCACATATTGCACCCGAAATCGCAATTCAGCTTGACATGGCCTGTCTTTTTGATTATCTGATCTACATTGCATTCTCCATCTTCACTGTAACCCTCGTTTACGTAAACGGGTTGCCGGGAACGAGCCATAGAGATAATCCCTCACACCTAATAATGGCCAGTAAACCTCCAAACACGAAATAGCCTCCACCAATCCGTTCAAGCTCTGTTCCTTTGACAAGTGCCGGCCAGCACCACAGAAAAAGAGACTTTCAGGGGTTCTCTTCCTCTGCTGCGACTAAGAACTGCACTGTAGATTATTTACTGTGTTGGGGCACCTTTGTGGAACCCCGCTAATCTCATCAACGAAGCCATTCCCGTAACTCAATAGCCCTCGCCCTAGTCTCCGCGCCGGCCTTGTCGCTCAACCGGTCTTTGTTCATTTCTCTTTATTCCCGTTCATGTGTTCTCCATGATGGTCTCTTTGTGTGAGGGCATCACGGGGTCGAAGAGATGGATGGTGACATTAGCTTATGTAACTTGTCATATTTGTATTGGACTAGCAATGGCGTCAAGATGGCGTAGCTGTAGATAACAAAAAGGACCATATCTTGAGGGTCTAAGAAGATCGCGGGCGTTTTGTTCCTGTTCCTGAGCCTCCCTGAATCGAATCTATCGTGTCATGTTCCAGTAGTTTCTCGTCCCCTCCGATCTCGCGTTACACATCCGCGTCTCATCCCAGCTCATTCCAGGCACAAACGTCTCCCCAACGCCTCAATCCCATCGAAAAGGGTCTGTGCAACGATACAGAACCCGTGGGAAATCTTATCCGAGCTGCAAAACACACGCGGCAAGAGAAGAAAAAGGGTCCAAGGATTTTGTGTCAGCCTTTATCTCAGCCACGGACTGTTATCCACTGACATCGTATACAGTGAATCATCATATGAACCATGACCTAAGAAACGCCACTAGACTCTAAGATGGACACCCTGACACACCATGCAAGTGACCCCTAAACGCCTCAGCACTGGAGATCCCCTTCCCTTTGTCGGCACGGACGCCATCATGTTCAGCCTCATACAATGATCGACAATGTCATATCATATCATATCATGGCCCCTGTCTCTACGCGATATGTGGAAGTGTGCATGCCATCATAATTCCCCAATTCTTTCTCCTCCCTACACATGTCATCACAAACTAGCTTTACTTACAAGGCAATTCTCACTAAAGATATGGCCGTAAACTGCCTGACCCAAGCCGTTATGGATGAAACTGGCTGCATACCTCTCTCTGTAGCAAGACTTTTCCTCCCTAATTCATTTTATGTATTGGAACTATTTATACAACCCTCCTGATTCGAAACGACCCTTTTGGCACTCGGAAACTCTAATATTTTCTCCTTGAGGGTGTTGTTCTCTTCCGATGGCTTGTACATATTGGCATTATCTACTCTAGTAGACTCTTCTCTCCACCACGGCCCGCGTAGTCTACAATAGCCCCCGGTCTAGTCCAAGAGACCTATTTTCCCAATTTGGAAAACCTGTTTCCGCAGCTTTCTCAGTTGTTGAACTAACGACAGATAGTAAGCTGCTCCGCTGCGGATCGTGTCCAATGGCCTTTGCCGCTTACATGTCGTTGGTCTTAGCATTCCTCGAGTCGGGAGGCAAAGACGGTTGACATTCCCTCTACTAATATTGCAAATCAGAAACCGTTTGACATGTGCCTTTGTACCTCCCGCAATCCAAATCTTAATATTATTAGACCCAGACCCCCAAAGTCTCTGGCCGGACCTAAAAGCTCCAATCACATCATCGTTCTCCGTCTCAGCCACTACCGTTTGAGCCTCTTGTTAGCTCAGAAATATCATATATCACATCCGACGTCCATCGGAGTGCCCACCTAGGCTCCAGAACAACACACCACCCAGCGCTTTCTTGACCCGTCTTTCTGTCTCTTTCATGTATGTATGTACAGCACATCAAATCTGCCAGACCCAGAGCAGCGGGTGCTGCTACGCCGTATCTCGCCATCTCATTTCACTCATCTCATCCTAATCTAGCAGAAGCAATGAGCCTGTGCATGTACCTTGTCTGGGCTGGGACTAGGGCGCCAGGGTGACTCGCGGATCGGCAGGCTGTCCTACCCCGAGATCTGAGACATTATGGAGCTGTCTATCGGAAGCCAAAGCATCCATCCCAACCCATCCGCTGTCCCATCCGCTGTCCCTTCCGCTGTCCCTTCCGCTGAACTGCTCTGCCTGTCCATGAAACGCTCCAATTCCGCTCTACCCTCGGGCCAAGAAGACCCAGAAACTCTAAAGCCTGCCGAAGTTGAAGTTTTCTCTCTCTCAGAAGTCGTCGTTGTCATACCTGATATCTTTTAATTTCCTACTTTTCTGGGTATAGACCACCTGAAAATCTGCTTCTAAACACAAACTACATATCCTCAAGCCAATCAATTAACACGTGAATGCCCTTCATCCTTGTCCTGCACTATGCAATGCAATCTCCAGCTTTGTCTGTCTTGTCTCTCCACGAACATGCATCACTATTTCCAGCTCAGCCATGTTCCCTGCGCCAGATCAAAAGAAGGAATTGCTGATCGACGTGTCACTTGTTTGGAGATCATATTGGGAAAGTCATGACGAAGGTGTTCATTTGACAAAATTTCTTGTTTCATTATCTGCTGCTCCAAATCCTATGTCCGCCACCATATTGTCCCAGCCACTCTTTGTCTAGAATGTGGAGGGTAATAGAAGAGAAAAGAATAGCTAACCAAAAGTAAAGTAAAGTAAAACGAATTAGACAAAATTCCTCAACACCGAGTAAAGAGCAAAGTAGAAAGCCTCCCCCAAGGTAGAAACGCCCCAGCACCGTTGAAGTGGACCTGGTTGTGTGATAACAACTCATCAATCATGCAAATGCCACCCAAATAAAAGCAAAGTCAAGTCAGGTAATCCTTTTCCGCGTCTTCTCTTCAAACATAGTAATCATACAGACCATTACACACCCTCGTGTCTCCTGTAATTTCGTTTGCTTTCCAAAGAGTTCTCTTGCCTGAGTCTCTAATGCGGCGGCGTCGACCATATGACGGTCTGGATGCAGAAATGCTGCAATTACTTTCTTTTTCCAGCTCCGCTTTTCGTATATGATAGTGTGTAGATGCGAATGTGTGTGGACGAGACAGACAAAGTATGTAAGTGTTTTTGGTATGTGTGTCTGAATGTGTGTGTGTATCTCCCCAATCAGGTTGAGTGAGTGCGCGGGTCTTGTTCTGCGTGTCTCATATAAGTGGCGCCCTTGGGACTCGGCTCTTCCCTGTTCTTGTTATTCCGCCAGTGGCGACTGACGGAGTTCTCAAGTAAGGTACCCGGCCAAGATATGTCCATCAGTAAAGTAAAAGTAGGTAATGCCAAGCAATGAATGACAGGCTTAGTATTCTGAGCCCCGCTTCTCAGCAATCTTGGACTTTGAGGGCGCTCTTCGCTTCCTGCTTCGCTCCTCTTGCTCAATGACAGGGACTGCAGCAGGGATAAACTCAACACCGCGGTTACGGCTGTTGGGTCGTGCGTGTAACTTGCGGTGGTTGTTGAGGTTATCTTGGCGGTTGAATTGGTCCTTTCCGCAGAACTCGCATGAGAAACGGTTAGGTCCTTCACCATGGAAACTGTAGTTGGTCAGTGAATATGTTCAATTCTTATAAATCTCAGTAAAAACTCACGTTTGCTTGTGACGCTTAAGATGCTCGTTTCGTCGGAAGGCCTTGTGGCAACCAGGATAGTCACACTTGCACATGGCTCGTCGGACAACATCAACTTGAGCAGAATCGGGCTTGATAGATCGCTTCCTTGATGATCGAATCTGAGCTCGTTGAAGCTCTGCACTCTTTTGCTGGATCTCATGCACCATCAACTTCCTTTGAGCACGCATGCGGTTGGGAGAGCTGGGGTCATGAAGATGGTAACCAAGAGGTGACTGAGAGTGGCGGTCCATGTCAAAAGTATCAAAGTCACTAGAAAGTTGTCTGTTGGGGAAGAATGAGATGGGGCTATCGTTGGCACAAGACCATGATGAGCCGGTCTCGGCAGCCTCAGAGCCAGAGATGCTTTGGGTTGGTGTCATCATGAAAGAGGCAGGGCCCATAGAAGCATCAGGGGAGTACCCATACATGCCGAAGGAGTTTGATGGTGTCAATGATCCCATTGATCCGTGGTGTGCCATGTTCATCTCCATCATGTGCTCGTACTCGAAGCCAAGTTGCTCTCGCTTCATGGGGGTGTTGGGGAGAGAGTCGGAGAATGAAATGTGCTCAGGCTCAGGCTTGACGGCGCCAAACATAAACTTGCCCATTGCTGATGAGGGAGGGGTCAGCTCTGCCCTGTGAGAGACAGAGTTGTAGGGGCCATCAAAGTCCATGTTGCCGAATTCATGAGGTGTTGATCGTCGAGATGTAGGAGTGAATGGGTCGTAGGCTGATGAGGCGGAGGAGAAGCTGGTGGTGGTGGAAGGGCAGGACATGGGCTGACTGCAGAGGCTGAAGGAGTCGTCCATGTCGAACCGGTAATCCGACTCGAACTGCATTTTGAGTATATGAGAACAAGGAGTGTTAAAGAGAGAATAGATGAGGAAGGGATGGTTTAATGTTTGAGCATGTATGTGAATATGTCTTGAGTTGACCTTGAATGAAGGGTGAAAGTGTTCAAGGTTGGTCTCAAAAGGCTGTGAAGAACAATCAAGAGTTGAGTGAAGTTGTTCAGTTGTCTGGTGAGTGAGTCTGATCGAGAATGTTTTTTCATCTTTCGAGGACGGACGCCCTTGAAGATATAGAGATGAGGTGGAATGAGGTACGCAGCATCGAGCTGCGGGTCCTGAGACAGTCAAGCTGTTAACTCAACCACCCGTAGATCCTTGAACACAGCCGGTGCAGCTAGTAGGGAACCCGCGAGACACAGCTATGATCCAATACACCCAGGGCAAGAATGCGAACAAGGTCAAGGGAACTTGAGCAGTGCAGATCGAGATCTCTGCTCTGAAGAGGAACAGTCCAGGTAGGGCGACGGGAGAGGCGTGATTGATCCACAGTTGAGTGAGTAGACTGAGTGAGTGGGTTTATTGCTCGCATAGAGTGAGTGCAATGTTTTGGATGAAGTTGTGTCAGTTATGATCAAGCGTCCCTGGGGATGTTTCGCTCGGCCCTCAACGCCCTCAGCTGGACTAGTTGCCGACTAGCTATACAGCAGCAAGAGAAGAGACCAATACAGACTTGGAACTTGATCCGAGAAGTTGAGTTTATGAAATTGAAAGAAAAAGAAATACTACATTAGCATTGAGCAATGCAGGACTCGGAGAATAGGGACAAAAGTGAAGAACCAGAACAAAGGCACGTATAATGGCAGTCGAAAATATGCTTGAACCAAGGGTCGGCATATGGGGGGTAGAGTATAGGCTAGGAAGGGGGTGTGGGATTAGACCACGTCCCTGACTCTGGGGCGGTTCCTCGCTCGAAGCCACAACTCTATGGACACCCCTGCAGCCCGCCGAACCATAACCATGCTGCGGATCCCAGGGAAAAGAAAGAAGGGTGTGGGCGTGTGATGCATCGACGTCAACTCTCTCATTACCTGAAAGACTCGAGGCGAAGTTGAGTGACTGCATCGGTCCCTGCATGAGCTGCATGAACATAACCCCCGGGGTGAGAAAAGGTGTCACTGACTGGACTGACTGACGCCAACCCTCCATCTCCATCTCCATCTCCATAATCCATCTCGCACATGTGCCACAGGACAGGGCCTACCTGTCAATGTCAATTTCAAGGTAGAAATGGCAAGCCACGCCCAGAGTGTGGGAGTCTTCTTTTTTGAGGTAATTGTGTGGGTGCCCCAGATCTAGTGTAAGGATGTACGAATGTACGTACATATCGTCTCGGTCGGTTTTTTTCTCATTCATAAACTGTTAGCTCTCTTGCCTCCAACAGTAATGGATATCATCTCTAGGAATGATCAGGGCCTGGAATGGGAGAAAGTGGAAATGTTGCTCAGAAAGGTCATAAGTGAGACAAGGCTACTCCGTATCGAGGGGACCCAAAGCCAAGAAGTAAGACCCAAGACCATCAGAAGGTTCATGTTCCTGAGTGTGTGCCTGGATGTGTTACCTCTTGGGCGAAACATGACCCATCCGAAAGGTCTTTTTGGTTTCCCCATATCTGACTCCCTTGAGACTGAACAGTAGTGTAGTGTAGAGACAAGAGAGCGGAACAATTAGTGGGATATCTCTCACTCGAGAGTCAAAGTGAAGACGTGGGTCAGCAGGAGAGAAGGTTTAGCAAAGGAGTACAATGATTGAAGGCAATCTGGCCCTATTCGTGAAAAGCAATCACAGGCGTGGTGCAGGTCTCACCCAAAACGAAAGGGACCTGCGGGTGTTCCTGGCGATGGATGGAGCATCACTGCAAGAGAACGGGAACTGTGTGCTCGTATCCGCACATTACGAGTAGAGTTCAGTACCTTGAGGTACGGAGTAGGTCGAGTAGAGTTTCTTCGTGGACCCTGATCCGATAAACGTCTCAGTGTGTTGATTATTCGGCTGATGCTGACTCTGCAAACCAACCATGGCCAAAAACTTACTTCAGGAGGGCTCCTCGTGATGTCATTGGACGGGAAGGCCTCTGTTGGCTGCACATCCACTCCAACAACCGGAGCATGTACTGCGAATGCAACTCCAACTGCACTAGAGCTGTAGAGTTGTATTGCAGCTTGACAAGGGTGGTATCGGCATTTGTCAAGGTGTAAAGGTGCCGGGTGCTGGGTAACTCAGCCATGCCAGGCCAGGCCAGGCCAGACCAGACCAAAAAAAAAAAAAAAAAAAAAAAAAATACAACGTCAGAGCGGCTAAACTCAAATATCCATCATGGAAAAGACTCGAGTTCACCTCAAGAAAATGGAGATATCGGACGGTAGCGGAGCAACTATCCTTACAGTTCATATGCATAGAATACAAATTAAGTTCCCATTGACAGGTGAGCGTGGTCAGTCAACCTGGTTAAGACCCCTGCTTCGCCTATCGCAACAGGAAACAAGTTGCCTTGCCTGTCAAGTTTGTGCACTAACACTACCTATTCTATTGTAGTCGCGCACGGTTCTCAATACGACAGAAGAGAGAAGAGAGACTGACAGACTGACAGACTGACAGACATGAAGAAGAGAATGGAACAAAGGGCATTCGCTTGGAAGTGGTATTGTAATTGTGCCGAGGAGGGGACTCGGTTGACCCTGAAAACTGATAACAGAACCGAACTAATCTGATCTGATCTGATGGAGTTGATGGAGTTGAAACTCCTTGATCGAAGGAGTTTCTCAAGGAGAGGCAATAGAGTCAATAGTGTGAAACTGCCCTCGAATTCCTCATTTCAATGTCTCCAAGTTTATTATCCGTCGGGCATTGAATTGTTCCTAAGGAGGGGTCGAGTTGAGTTGAGGGGTTAGTCAACTACCCCATCTTAGCTGCTTGGCTCATCGAGTTGAACCGAGGCGCACTATACTCATGCTCCCTAGCCCCAGTAAAACGCGACCTGAACGCGATCCCAGGCCTGATAAGGGAAACTGGGAAACTGAGGTCATAACAAAGGGAAACATTTCAGTTAGTGCATCGCGCAAGTGTGTGGTGCAAGCACTAACGCAAGGCTCGGGACGGTAGCTGCGGGGCCACACTATCGCTAAGGCACAGTACCTAAGATAAGAGTCGCAGTGTTCGTGCTCGTGCCTCAGGCCTGCGAATGACAGTCCTCTGCTGTTGTCAGCTCTCAAAGCATCCCTAGTGCCGGGCGATCTTCCGGGGAGCGACCCAGCGATCCTCCCAAGAAATCAAATCTAGGAACGGAGAGGGGACCAGGGGTCAGGGATCAGAGGTCCCAGTGGAGAGAGCCATTGGAGGGAGAGGCTGTTTGGCGCTGGCGTTGGCGTTGGTGTTCGTTCGTAGATCTGACTTTTCTTCTTCTTTTCCCCACTGAAAATCGGTCAAGGTAAACCTATCGGTGCGGTAACATTACACGCCCCCCGTCTTGCAATGTATACATACATCCATACATCCATACAGTTGAAGGCTGGCAAGACACCTGAGATGGGCTGGGCAGGATTTTTCATTTTGGTGATATATCGTTTTTTTTCTCGTCTCTGCTCTCACTTTGAATATGTGCAGTAACTCAACCTAGTCGAACTGGATGATGCGAGTTACTAACGCGATACGCAATGCCTCGGGTCGCTTGTTTGCCTAAACGAACGGAAGATGCCAGGGCAAGATTCACCATCAATGCCCTTGCAGTGTCTGAAGCGGATGTAAGTAAGTCTCCGCATGATGAGAAACAGAGTGTTCATCATCATTTCTATGTACTATATGCATCTCATATTAAGAAAACGTTGCAGTATTGTATTGGAACTGCCAACGAATAGTGCATGCAGCTCGTGGAATCATCTCATTTACACCATGTACAAGGCCAATTCAACTGCACACCCGACATCTGCAGTCCTGTCGTCATACGGCATCGTAAGTTACTTTTTCGTCCTGTCTCTTGCCTGCCCTGCCCTGCCCTGAGCTGCCCTGCCCTGAGCTGAGCTGAACTGGGCTGGTAATACCGAGCAGAGTAGCATTTCATACGGGCCCCCGACGGGAATCCGAGTGCTCCCATGTGTTATCCACTTCTTCCCGTGCCTAGCCTCTGTCTAACTCAGGCTCAGGGCCAAGAGTGAGAGAGTGAGAGTGAGAGAGGGGAGCACTTTAGGCCTACGTACCAGGTTTTCTCCTGCTTCCCGTCTCCGCTGACTCAAGAGCTGAAGAGTCGAGGCCCGTGATCTGGCAACAGAGCTCCTCCTCAGCTTACACAGACGGTATGGATCACGAAAGTGCCCCTCCCCCCGCCGAGGAAAGGCCAAGCCCGTTATCCCAAAGGTAGATCCATCTCCGGCCCGGCTTTCCAGCGCCGTTGCTCCCGTAAAGTATACAAGCTCTCCAAAGTAAAAAGCCTATATGCTTTGCCAAGATGCTAGTATATGTGAAGGATTTTCGTACCGTCTCGTGTGATCAGAATGCTGAATTCCCTGATGGCAAACCGTAGAGCAGATCTGCCGTCTAGTTTCTTCTTCATTTCACATCATGGCATCATAGATTTATAACCTCAAAGTCTCACCTGAGCTGCGGACACGCTTCCGCAGTTATCCTACCAATCAGAGTCTTGAGTGTCATATCAAGCGCCACAAGTTCCAGCAACTGTCGAGACCTTGTGTTGGGGCTCTATATGATCTATCATAATCCTGCCCACTCTGCATACTCCATAGGGGATGGTCTAATCAGTTAAAAGTGGTCTTGCGCAGTAAAGTCCTTCTCCACACACTCGCGCAACCGTATTGCTTTTGTCCCTCTGGGCTAGTCCGTTGATGTACAGTTGGATTACCTGGTTGGTAATACCATATGCGAGCACTAGGAGGCCCAATTGGGTGCCTGGTGTTCCCTTGTGTAGAGCTCTTTGTGGGCACCGGACCCAAGAATTGCCGAATTGACTTGGGGACTATCACCTATCACCAACTTATGAACCTGTCAACTTGCCTTGGACGCATCCCTTCACTCCCGTATTGAGTAAACGATGTTACATCTGCTGCCCATTCGGTCTTTGTCTCCCTCTGTTTACGGTAATCGTACGCTATTGTTCTTACTCTCCCTGGTCGACAATCTATCTATCAGGCTAGATATCAGACGATTGTAGCAGTTATACCGCGCACACTACTGTACCTCGATCCATAAGGAGAATAACGCTCGTGTCTTGGCGGTACTGACTGACGGGCTGAGTGACTACTGTAACTATGTCAGGATTGCCTGCTGTGGCTATTATGGTGGCTTTCGAGGCTGCAACAACGTAATTCAACTGGCAGCGGAATAACAACGCCAACATATTTTATCGGGATTGAGAAATGATTTACGGGCCCGTACTCTTGCCGACGGCAAACTGAAGTAAAGGCTCTCCACATCTGGTTCTCACTGTGACGGGCATACCCACACTCATGCTTAGGGGAGATGGGCAGCCTTGGAGACTTGGAGTGACTCGGCCGGCCGGGGTCTACGGCTTCTGGGCCAAGGGTCCCGAAGCTGTCAGTCTCCGCTGACATAGTTACGTTAGCTTTTGTAAGCTATGTTCTGCCCTACATTGATCTATGTAAAGAATGTCATCCAAACTCGGTGGTATTGGTTAGTGCTCTCTATCTGGATAGCTTTCAGTCCCTTGATTATCGTGGTTCACTTCCCTCGGTTCTCTGCCCAGCCTACATATCATACGGGTTAGGCCCAGGCCCATGAGATCGCCGATGCACTCTTCTTTCCACGATGCGAGCGAGCGAAATGCCATATGGCAAGTTTTTCTTTTTGTTTCCTTGGGCTTGGGGCCCCCAGATCGAAGTTACACCGCAGCCGCTGTTACACCCGCCGTGAATCTCCCGCCATCTAGGTTTGTGATCTGACGGACGGCGGGCGGGAGAAGATCACCATACTGGGGATAGTCAGGGGTCTGGAAAGCCTGTTTTTCAAGCCCTGCTCCCTGTTACGGTTACAGTTCCTGTTCCATTTGGAGATTCTGTGGTCTCCCGAAACCTTGGCCCTGCGTCATCTGCATCTGCGACTGCGTCTGCATGTGCAGCAAGGCACGTCAGGGTATATATAATTGACAATGAGCTGAGACTGAGACTCTTACAGCACAGGGTATGGAGGTTCTCCCCCGCCACTGACCAATTTGTGTCATTTATTTTTCTTTCCACACACGAAATACTACCTTTGTCAATAGGTGTCAATGACTTTTCTCCCTACCGTTTTTCGCCTCTTGACGAGACGGTCAGACTTACGGTGACATTCGCATATCAATAGCACCGGAATGCTGGCTTAAAACGACCGTTTTGACCGTTGATAGTGTGGCATTGCTTAACATATGTCGGGCCGGCACCTAAGAGCTGTGGTGTGGACGGTAGCGCAGCCTCAAAATAATATCGACCGTTTTCTCTCACGGTGAATCAACAATTGCCCTATTATCTGGACGGGAAGGCCATTATCCAGTGGTCAGATCTCGTGGATTTACGGACGCCAGTAATAAAGTTTCGCCCAGAACCGGAGCCGTGGTTACGCTTGGCTGTATTAGTTCACTATCTACGACTTCCATTCCCTAAATGGAGTTTTAGTAAATCCCTCTCGCTTAATCGATTGACAGTCTCCGCGGAGTCCCCCGATTTCACGATGTTGACATTTCGATCTTGATTTATGCAGCTCATGACTCTGACAATGGCCTTTCAAACACTAATTGTCGATATTTCATGTTCTAGAATGCGCCTCCTTCAGTTGACACGATCGATCGATCGGTAGGAGATTTATTCTACCAATGAGGGTTATAGGAGATGTAGGGTAGCTTGTGGTTCAGGACGGTTTCAAGTAACTACAATTCATAGGGCGTATATCAAAACAGATAAATCTCATCTAGGCTAAATCGTCGCCTATGTTTGGACTTGTGTCAGTAGTCTACCAGACCTTTGTCATCAGTGACCTCGTTGGAGACATAATATTGTTGACTTACTCAGTATGTGCTATGTCAGTCAACGCGCCACGACACCTGACACGATTGAGACGAGACATGACGAGACGAGGCCAGAACATCTAGACTTGAGACCATTGAGCACAGAATTCTACAGTGGAAGGGGCAAGATAAGCATATCTGACGTCTTTCGGACAATAAGCAAACATGGGGAAGTTTGTAAATTGGATGGGAATACCATCAAACGTGGCTGTCAAAAGAAGTCCAGAATCTATCTATAGAAAAGCCGTTATGAAGCCACTTTGTTTCGT